AAATAGACTAGGACTGGGGGCGGAGCTCAGGGGCAGAGTCCCTAAATGGTAGACTGGATGGGCTGTGTATTTGTGCTTATGTCCCATGGTGCTTTGTAGAAAAGTACAGCCAGGGTGATTGGAGAAGACTGGTGAGGCTTGTTCAAAGTGCAGCTCCAGTTTCTGCTCCTGTCAGCTGCCAATGCTCTCCCTGTGAGTTTGCACAGTCTTTGGTTTAAAAACCCAGGCTGAGCCGGGCGTGGTGGCGCACTCCTGTAATCATCCCAGTACTCGGGAGGCTGAGGCAGGAGGATGGTTGCGAGTTCGAGGCCAGCCTGGGCTACAAAGTGAGCTCAAGGTCAGCCTGAACTGCATATCAAGACCCTGTCTCAAAAAGACAAAAAACAAACAAACAAACAAACAAAACCATACAAACCCAGGCTGGCGCCATGGTGGGATGTGCTGCGCTGTCTGCCTGAGAGTTGGAAAGTCCTAGGGGACCAGGAGCAGGGCTCTGTGTCTGTAACTTCCGCTTTCCGGAAGAGCTCAAAGCTCCTCTCCTGCTGCCTAGCGCGTGGGAGTGGGGAGAATGAAGGACAGGAGCGAACGTGCTCCACCTGCTGGCCGTGGAGGACAGTGCTCTCTGTGTCCCATGGTTTTTAGGAGGAACAGGCATCTTTGCGTGCAGCAGGGTGACCTCAAACTCACAGTGACCCTCCTGCCTCAGCCTCCTGCATGTACCATCACGCCGGGCTGCCATGAACGTAAAAGGGAGAATTAGGGGTGTGACCAGGCCTCTGTTGCGTGATGGGATTTCGGGGTAGGCCTGGTTCCCGTTTGCCAGCCTGCTGTGTGCTTGGCATATGCCTCTGCAGGTGGCAGGTGAGGAATAAGGGCACCCAGATGATGGGGTTGCTGTGCCAGGCGACTGTGCTGCCGCAGAGCGTTCCCGGCTCCGGGTGGCCTGTCCTGGCCCCTCTGCAGCAGCGCACAGTTTCTCTGCTGTGGCACCTACGAAGCCTGTGACAGACAGTTCTCCTGGACTTCGTTTTTCTGTTGGCTCTTGGGCACCTCAGTAAATTACAAATCTGTACGCCTTTGGGAGACACTGACACGTGATCTGGCAAAGCTCCTAGGACCACCTGTTAGTGCCTTTATTTTTCTGAAGTACTGGAGCTGGAGCCTGGGGGGTGCTGAATGGCATCCCCGGCCCTTTGTAACCTTTGTATTTTGAAGTAGGATCTCGCTAGGTTGCCCAGCATGGCCTCCAGCTTACAGTCCTCGTACCTCAGCCTCCTGAGCTGCTGGGATCACAGGCCTGTGATCTGGCTGACCTGATCACCTGGCTGACCTTCTTTAGGGTCGTGTGAAGATAACCGAGTCAGCATTCTTACGCGGGTTTTCTTAAAAACAGGGTTGAAAAATACAGACCAGTAAAGCTGAATGAAATTGTCGGAAATGAAGACACTGTTAGCAGGCTGGAGGTGAGCGGCTGTTTATTTACTTACTGCAGTGCTGGGGATGGAACCCAGGCCTTTGGGCTGAGCTACACAGTGAGTTCTTTCTAAATGTTTTTATTTTGAGAGAGAGTCTTGCCAAGTTGCTCATTTGCCCGGGCTTGGCTCCAACGTGTGATCCTCCTGCCACAGCCTCCCGGAGTCCTGGGATGACGGCCGAACCTCTCCGAAGGGGCCGGGGATGTGGCTCATAGGAGAGCACTTGCTTGGCTGGCCTCAGGCACTGGGTTCCATTCCCAGGAAACCCCTGCCCCAGATAAACGAAGTTTGGGCTTCACGGTGAGGGCAGAAGCCAGGCCGGGTTTGAGTAGGTAGAGTATTTTAACAGGCAAGTGCTTTGGAGACACAGAACGGGCAGGGCCACATCGGAGGCCAGGAGACCAGTTTGAGGCCGGCTGCCTGCCATCCAGGCAGCGAAAATGGGCTAGGAAAGTGGGGTGGGGCTGGGAGAAAGCGGAGGAGCAGCCCGGCCTGTGTGATGGATTGGGGTGAGGGAGGAGCCCGAGCAGGGGCACAGAGCACTCGCGTCACTGGTGTGCGCCGTGCGTGGGTGAGAACCATGGGGGCTCAGGTTGGTAGGGAGAGCAGTAAGTTCAGCGTGGTCTGTGCTGTGTCGCCTGTGTCCCCCGGCCCCCAGGTGAGGACACAGCTGCGTGTTCCTCGTGCTCAGGCCTCTGTGTCGTCACGCTGAGCTACCTAGGCCTGCAGATTAGCCAGGTTTTGATTTTTCTTTTTGTGGTACTGGGATTAAACCCAGAGCCTTTGCACTGAGCTATATCCCCAGCCTATGTTTTATTTTGAGAGAGCAGCTTGATAAGTTGCCTAGGCTGGATTCGAACTTGTGATCTTCCTTCCTCATCCTCCCAAGTATCTTGGATGACAGATATGCACTACCAGGCCTGGCTCTCACCAGGTTTTTAATTTTTATTTATTTCTTTATTCTGAGAGAGGGACTTGCTCAGTTGCTCAAACCAGTCTCAAACTTGTGATCCTTCTTTTATTTTTTTTTGAGACAAAGTCATGCTGTGTAGCCCATGCTGGCCTAGAACTTGTGATGATCCTCTTGCCTCAGCCTCCAGCACACTGGGGCCATAAGTGTGTACTGCTACACCCAAAAACTTCTAACAAGTTTTTCATTAGATTTTTTTTAAAAATTTATTTATTTTGAGACAGGGTCTCGTTCTATAATTCAGGCTAGCCTTGAACTCACTATGTAGCCTAAGCTACGTGGCAATCCTCCTGCCTCAGCCTTCTGAGTGCTGGGATCACAGGCATGGGCCACCACGCCCAGCCTAACCAGTTTTAATGATCTATTTCCCTCAGGTCTTTGCGAGAGAAGGGAACGTGCCCAATATCATCATTGCTGTGAGTATGGGGCCCTGTGGGTGTCCTGGCTTCTCATTTCCCCACCCTGCTTAGGGTTTCTTGCTTGGGCCCGGCACCTCTCCTCCCATCAGTGGGGAGCTTGAGAGTGCTTGGCGAACTGACGTGGGTGCTGGGGGCAGCAGCTGCACCCAGGTCCTCCTGGTGGCACCAGGCACTCAATGGAACCTGTCCCCAGGGGCCGCCCGGAACTGGCAAGACCACCAGCATCCTGTGCCTGGCACGAGCCCTCCTGGGTCCTGCGCTGAAAGACGCAGTTCTGGAGCTCAACGCGTCCAATGACAGGTGGGTCCGGGCGAGGCCAGCGTTCCGGCTGCGCTTTTCTGAGGCAGAAGGATTGCTGTGAGTTCGAGACCATCCTGGGCTCCATAGCGAGTTCAAGGTCAGCCTGCAACGAGACCTTCTTTCAGAGAAACAAAAAAAAAAAACCTAAAATGGCCGAGCATGTGTCACAAGACAGCGTGGAGTGAGGTCTTTCTTGTTGGAAGCCTAACCAGATGAAAACATTTTGTTTTCCTTAGAAATATGCTGTTCAGCTGGGGATGCAGTTTAGTGGTAGAGCACTTGCCTGACGTACACGAGGCCCTTGGTTTAGGCCCCTGTATCACAGGAAAAATAAAAAGGATGTGTTGAGCCTGGCATGATGGTACATGTGTAATCTCAGCACTCTGGGAGGCTGAGGCAGGAGGAGCGAAAGCTCTTACCCAGCCTGGGCAACTTAGGGTCTCAGTGAGACCCTGCCTCAAAATAAAAAAGGCTGGAGTGTCCTTCAGTGTGAAGACCCTGGGTTCAGTCGACGCCAGATGAGTTTCCCTCAGAAGGCAGCAGTCCAACTCCTTATCGTTATTCCTTATTGTTACTGCTTATTTAGGGGCATCGATGTTGTGCGGAATAAAATCAAAATGTTTGCCCAGCAGAAAGTGACGCTTCCCAGGGGCCGACACAAGATCATCATCCTGGACGAGGCCGACAGGTGGGTGCCCGCCCCGCCTCCCGCGTGCCCGGCGCGTGTCCGCCGCCGGCTGTGTTCAGTCGGGAGAGCGGGCACCCTGCGGTGGATGTGCCCGCCACGTCTTCTGAACGCAATTGCAGATAATTCCGATGACAAGTACGGCAGTGATTCCTGTCCTTCACGGACAACTTAGAAGATACTCATTTCTTGCTGTCTTTTTTTCTCTTTTTTTTTAATTTTAAAAATAAAAGGAGGAAAACATTAACAGACAACCTTTTACAAAATAGCAAAAAACAGTACAGACAATACAGAGTTACAAAGTGGTAGGAAATTGACAGTGCTTGTTGTATTACATATTGATATCTTCAAAGTGGCTTCTCATTTTTTTCTCTTTTTACCGCCGGGGACATAACTCAGCAGCGCAGCGTCTGCTTGGGAAGCGCAAGGTTGTGAGTTTGATTCCCGGTACCAAAAAAAAAAAAAAAGAAAAAAAGAAAAAGAAAAGGAGTCTTCTTACTAAGCATTTTTATTTGGACAAGATTATATATATATACACACACATAGATATATGTATATATATATATGTAATTCTATATTTTTTGTATTTTATATTCTGTCTTTTCTATCTTTTTTTTTTTGGAACCAGGAATTGAACTCAGGACCTTGTGCTTGCCAGGCAGGCACTATGCCTCTGAGCTATAACCCTTGCCTCTTCCTTTTATTTAAAAAAGAGTCTTGTATGTAGTCCAGACTGGTGTTAAAGTTGCAACCCTCCTGTTTCAGCCTCCCGAGTGCTGGGATTACAGGGGTGTCTCACCTTGCCCACATCTTGTGTGCCCATCTTGGTGCTGCGGTTCACAATCCGCCGTATTTGGTCTTCCCACACGTCCGTTTATCCGTCTTCCCATCCGTCCACGTTGTCCTCCTTTGTTTCATTCTGGGTGCATTTCAGAGGAGTTGGCGTCATCAGTACATGTTGCTCTGAGCATGCCCACGCATGTACCCTCGTCTCGTTAGGATGTGTCTGCAGAGTGTGGGACACTGGTGGTGTCCTGTGTCCTATGTCGTTGTTGGGGAGAGGTGTCCCACGGGCCGGAATCACGGCTGCACAGCGCCTCTCTCCTGCGTTTTCTTCCCAGCATGACGGACGGTGCGCAGCAGGCCCTGCGGAGGACCATGGAGATCTACTCCAAGACCACCCGCTTCGCGCTGGCCTGCAATGCCTCGGACAAGATCATAGGTGAGCAGAGCGCGGGCCGTCCCAGGTGCCCGTCTGGTGCCTCGGCAGCAGCGGGAGGGACTCTGCCACCACACACCAACTCTCCGTAAGCAAATGTGTGCATTTTAGCTGGCAAAATGTGTGTATATTTAGCATGAACAACATGACTTTTTTTAATTTATTTTTTGGTACTGGGAATCGAACTCAGGACCTTGCGTTTGCCAGGCAGGCACTGTGCCGCTGAGCTAAATCTCTAGTCCCTTTTCTTTGGTCTTTTTGAGACAGGGTCTCACTATGCAGTTCAGGCTGGCCTTGAGCTCACTTTGTAGCCCAGGCTGGTCTCGAACTCACAATGATCCTCCTGCCTCAGCCTCCCGAGTGCTGGGATTACAGGTGTGTGCCACCACACCTGGCTCTACATTTTGAAATATAGTTAACTTAAATTTTTTGTGGTACTTGGGATTGAACCCAAAGCCTTCGCATCAAGCTACATCTCCAATCCTTTTTATTTTGAGACAGAATCATGTTAAATTATCTTGGGATCCTCCTGCCTCAGGCTTCCACAGTGCTGGGTTATAGACTGGTGCCACTGTACCTGGCTAACTTTACTCTTATGCAGTTATTTACAAAGCATTATTGACTGGATTCTTTTTTTTTCTTTCCTTTCCTTTTTTTTTTTTTTTTTGGTCTTTTTTTGAGACAGGATCTCACTGTGCAGGTCAGGCTGGCCTTAAGCTCACTTTGTAGCCCAGGCTGGTCTTGAACTCGAAAAGATCCTCCTGCCTCAGCTTCCCAAGTGCTGGGATTATAGGTGTGCGCCACCATGCCCAGCTCCTTTTCTTTCTTTTTTTTTTTTTTTCCTTTTTTTTGCAATACTGGAGATTGAATCCAGGGCCTTGTGCATGTGAGGCAAGCACTCTGCCACTGAGCTACAGGCCCAAAGCCATGGCCTTGCTAAGTTTCCCAAGGTGGCCTCAAATTTGCCATCCTCCTGCCTCAGCCGGCAGAGTTCCGCACACCTTGCTTGGCTTCACTTGAGTGATGAGAAGCCTGAGTCGGGGAGGCCGAGTCGTTTGTCGCGTCTCAGCAGTTGGACAGCAGAGACCGAGCCCCGGGCCTGACTGCCTCCTGTGCTCTGGGGCACAGCGAAGTCACCATCGTGTGCCCAGTGTCGCCGCCGTCCGCCGTATCCTCCCTGGTGCTTTTGTGCCCTCTGAGCGCGTGGCATGGACCGTGCTCTGGCCCCGGCCCTGCCCGGCTGGGAGTCACCTGGCCTTGATCTCTTCGCATCAGGCCTCTGTTCGACCCCAGCCCGCCTTCCCCCGCTCCTTCCCTGCACCCCCGCGCCTCCCCTCTGGCTTCACACCCTCCTCTGCAGGGCCCCACGCACGCAGGCGCACAGCCCTGCCCCTGACCTGCCCTCTGCACCTCTGCTCACACCTGCCCCTCGGGCGGCTCATCCGTCTTGTCTGCACTGCCCCGAGGTCACTGTCCCCGTCCAGTGCGGGGGGGCGGGGGGGGGTTCCTCTGTGTCCCTCCGCCCTCCCCGTGTCCCGTGTGTCTGTCCATTGGCTGTTGGTCCTCACCGATGTGTGTTCTGTCCCTGGAGCTTGAGCACTTGGGGTTGGAAATGGCCCCTACTGCAGGAGGAATGCACGGCCACTCCCTGTCCCCATCCTTGTCCCTGTCCCCATGCCCTTCCCCATCGGGGCACGAGCTGCTTATCACCTGCTCCCGAGGCCAGTGCACCTTGGAGGGCAGCAGCGCGGTCTGCTTCCGGCCCCTCCCGCGGCGCAGTGCAGGGCCTGGTGTCGGTGGCTTTGCTTGGTCGCGCGGCGACAGTTGGAGGAAGCACCAGCCCTCCCTTCTGGTGCAGCTGAGCTTCCGGATACACTCAGCCTTCTCAGGACTGCTGTTTCCTAAAGGGAAGTGGCAGTTGTGTAAGTGGAACTCAGACTTGTCTCCAAGCTGCCAGCTGCTCTGTGGCAGACCCTCCCCTAGTGTGGGTCCTGGGCTCGGTCCAGCACCACAGAAAACTCTCCTGGGGAGCCCAGCACAGCAGCGGGTCAGAGACTGCACAGGGCTGTGGAAGCAGAGAGGAGCTGCTGTGTTAGTCTCCGCCCAGGGACAGAGAGCTTCTAGAATTCTGTGTGCTGAGCATGGCGACGCATACCTGCAGTCCCAGCACTCGGGAGGCTGAGGCAGGAGAATGACCGAGAGTTTGAGGCCAGCCTGAGCTACATAGTGAGACCCTGTCTCATAAAACAGAAAAAAAGACAATTCTGTGTTTGCCTGGTGTAGCAGACCCTTGCTGTGGGTCAGAAGCTCTTGTGGAAGGTGGGTGTGGTGCCATACGCCTGAAAAACCTCACTCTAGGAGGCTGAGGCAGGAGGATTGCAAGTTCTAGCCCAGTCTGGATAATTTAGTGACTTACACCCTGTCTCCAAATAATTCTAAAATTTTAAAATTTTAAAAAGGGCTGGGGATGTAGCTCAGTGTGACGGCCTTGGGTTCAATCCCCAGTGTGGGGGCGGGTGGTGGGATCCACAGAGCTCTGAGGAGGTCATGGCCGTCCCGGAGCCAGGGTGTTGCCGTCACCTGGCAGAGCTGTGACCTGCCAGTGGCCATGTGGCGCGTGTGTTCTGTCCAAGCTGGCAGTGCTTGTGTGCTGTCACCCCAGCCGTCACTCGTGGCTCCTGAGCCCCGTAGGCCGGGCAGAGGCCAGCGCGGCCGAGTCGCAGCCCAGACCTCACTCCTGCCTGGCCCGCAGAGCCCATCCAGTCCCGCTGCGCCGTGCTGCGCTACACCAAGCTCACGGACGCGCAGGTCCTCGCGCGGCTTCTGAGCGTCATCGAGAAGGAAGCTGTGCCCTACACGGACGACGGCCTGGAAGCCATCATCTTCACGGCACAGGGCGACATGCGGCAGGTGCACCGGGCCCGGGCGAGGCCGGGGATGGGGGCGAGGCCGGGGATGGGGGCGAGGCCGGGGCGCCCTCCTCACCCGGGTTGTGTGTCTGCCCCTCCACAGGCGCTGAACAACCTGCAGTCCACCTTCTCGGGCTTCGGCTTCATCAACAGCGAGAACGTGTTCAAGGTGCCAGGCCGCGCGGCCCGGGGGGAGCGGGCTGCTTCTGAAGGAGGGGCACGGGCACTGGGCTCGGCCACGCGCCCCCAGGAGGAGCGGGGAGCCCGGCATTCCCGCCTCCCAACCTCAGGGTCGTCCCTGCACGCAGAGGCCGCCAGAGGGCTGCTGGTCTGTCAGGCGTTCTAGGCGTGGCTGCTGCTACTACTTTTCTTTTTCCTGCCCAAAACTAGGGATTGAACTCAGGGTCTTCACGCTGAGCTGTGTCCCCAGCCCTTTTTTATCTTTTGGGACCAGGTCTTGCTGAGTTGCTCAGGGCAGGCTCAACCTTGCCATCCTCCTGCCTCAGCCTCTAGCGAGCGTGCTGGGATCGGCCTGGTTCTCACGCGGGTTTGCCGTGGCCCTGGGCACGCAGCCGCCGGGGTCGGGTGCCGATCCCTTGCTGCTCCTCAGCTGCTGCGCGGTCACTCCTGGTGGCTTTGAGGAGCTGGTAGTTGGAGCGGGAAACTTGCGGCGGCTTCGGAAGGCAGCGGGCCGTGCTCAGGCCTCCCTGCTGCTGGGGAAGCGGGTGAAGCCGGCAGACTGGGGAGCGGCCGTGTGGGCGGCTGGGAGTTCGGTCCCCCCGCCCCTCACGCGCCTCTTTCTTGGCGCGCCCAGGTCTGCGATGAGCCCCACCCGCTGCTGGTGAAGGAGATGATCCAGCACTGCGTGAGCACCAACCTCGACGAGGCCTACAAGGTGGGCCGCCTGGGCTTCCGCCTGCCGCTGTCCGGTCTGCAGCTGGGGCCAGGACGCGCTGCACCGGAAGAGGCGCCCAGGGCCTGGGGTGGGGGCGGAGGGGACCCCAAGTCCTGTGGCGGGGTCTGGCTTGATGTAGCACTGGAGTTCCAGCCAGGGAGACTGAGGCAGGGTGCGTGGTCCGAGGCCCATCACTTTGTGGGCTTGGGTTTATGGACACAGTTCCCACCCTCGGAATTCACCCTAAGATGCCAAGACCAAGGTGAAAAGGATCTGCTCCAGACCCCCAGTGTGGACAGGGTGGGTGGTCTCGGGCAGCTGGGCCTAGCAGTCCTGCAGGAGCCGGTAACAACTCTGCTGCCCCTGCTCGGGCACTTGGCAGGCTGCCTCAGTGTTTTAAGAGCCCCAGGTGAGTTGGGTGCAGTGGTACACGCCTGTGATCCCAGCGCTGGGGAGGCTGAGGCAGGAGGGTCATGCTGAATTAAAGGCCAGGTTGAACTACATAGCTAGACTCTGACTTAGAAGAAGAAAGAGAGAAAGAATCCAGGTGAAGACAGCGGGCCACCGTAGCAGGCCATCCCGAAGGCCACAGGAAACATTGGCAGTGCTGACTGCGCCCCTGGAAGACAAGTTAACCCTGCTTGACAGAGGATGTCAGGCTGTGGGCTCCATGGGTCCCCCATGGCTTGTGGCTGAGGTGCCCCTCAAACCACGTGGGCCGTACCAGTGAGCCGTGCCCTGGGTTCCCAGGGCCTTACCGTGTCCCTTCTGCCCAGATCCTTGCTCACCTGTGGCACCTGGGCTACTCGCCAGAGGACATCATCGGCAACGTGTTCCGTGTGTGCAAGACTTTCCCGATGGCCGAGTACCTGAAGCTGGAGTTCATCAAGGTGAGCGCTTGGACACCGTCTCCCCTCGGCGGGGGCGCTGCGCCCTGCCCGCAGCCCTGCCTCTCACTGACTGACTGACTGATGGAGGTGCAGGGCAGGGAACGCAGGGCCTCGCATACGCCAGGCAGGTGCTCTGCTGCGGACTCTTGCCCTGCCCTTACTTTTTTTTAGGCCTGGTGAACCGAGGTACAATTAACGTACACGCAGGGGAGGTCAGCCCTTGGGGTATGGTCCCAGAAAAATTCATGTTTTGAAGTATTTTTTTGTTTTTTAATTTTTTTGATGGCATTGAGCTGTATTCCCCGCCCTTATTTATTATTTATGTTGAGATGGGTGCTCATGGGACACTAAGCGTCTGGGTTACTTTTCTCTTGTTGCTGAGACAAAATGCCTGATACCCAGAATTAAGGAGGAAAGGTTTGTTTAGCTCACAGTTTGTGGAGGTTTCAGTCTGTAATCAGCTGGCTCCAAGGCGGGGTGACAGGGCCCCAGGGTAGCAGGTCAGGGTGGCACAAGACAGAAAAAGCAGCAAAAGAGGTGAGGGAGTAAACCTCTTTCCCCTCCTTCATTGTATATCCGCCATCCGCCTGCGCCATGGCATCGCCACACTTAGGACCAGTACAAAGCGAGGACCCTGCCCCCTGCGGAGTCACACAGTTAACCTTCTAAACTCAAGTTGACACAGTGAACAACCTCCCGGAGCAGTAAGGACAAGTCCTTCTCACCCCAGGCTGTAGACCTCCTGAGTCAGTCAGTTAAGCCTCTGGACTCCTCAAGTTGACACAATGTATCACACAGTGTGTAAGGCTTGCACTTGTGATCTACCTGCCTCAGCCTCCCAGAGTGCTGGGAATTCAGCTGTGTACCACCATGCCTGGCTTTTCCAGTTGTTTTTTTTTTTTTTTTTTAACAGTGTCTTTCAAAGAAATAACAGACTCCTTTTAGGGAACCAGTTGAACTTCAGTTTAGCATAACCCACTGATCATTGCCTCATTTTCCTCCTGGGGTTGGAGTCTGCTGTATGTCTCGAGCGTGCCGCCCATTTGGACCGAAGGAGGGACCCTCTGTGGGTAGTAACCAGCTCGCGTTGCCCGTCCACAGGAGATCGGCTACACGCACATGCGCGTGGCGGAAGGCGTGAACTCCCTTCTGCAGATGGCGGGGCTGCTGGCCAGGCTGTGTCAGAAGACAATGGCGCCGGTGGCCAGTTAGAGCGGGGACGTCACCAGCGCAGCCTGAGGAGCCTTCACCCCCAGAGCCGGAGAACCGCAGGCTCCAGTGGGGGCTGCGCCCGACTTTGAATTCTGGTGGCGTCCAGCCCTGTGGCACATCCTGCGCCATGCGTGTCCAGGGGACCTGGTGACACGTTGGGTGGCAGAGACAGATCCAGGTGCTGTTGGCATTGGGGCAATAAAGCTGGACTGCATTTGTCCTGCAGTGTTTGACATCGCCAGGCTTCCAGGGACACCCGTATCCCGGGCCGTGCAGGTGACTGGGATGGTGACCATGCAGCTGGTCCGGCTCCGCTAGGAGCTTGGGGTCGCCAGGGTCGGCTGTGGTTTCCTGGTGTTCAGGAACGTCCTCAGGACAGCCGAGGACTCGAGTGATTCAGGTGGGCTGGGGCCAGGGACACCTGTGGGGCTTCCTGCCAGGCCCGCAGACCGTCACAGAGGGCCTGCCGGGAGTGGCTGAGGCAGTGGCTGGGCCTCGGCCCTGTTACCTGGCCCTGGTTGCACAGGCTGTTGCTTTAGAGTTCACTGGTTGCTTGTTTGTTTTTCCTGTTTGTTGCCAGGGATGGAACCCAGGGCTTCATGCATGACGGGCCAGGGCTCTCCCACCACACCCCCAGTCCCTTTTTTTTTCAGGCATGATCTCAGTTGTCTAGGCTGGCTTTAAACTTGCAATCCTAGGCTGGGTGTGGTGGCAAACCCCTGTAATCCCAGCTCTTGGGAGGCTGAGGCAGGAAGATTCCCATGAGTTAAAGGCCACCTTGGGGTACATAGCAAGACCCTGTGTGCAAAAAAAAAAACCAAAAAACTTTCTACCCTCCTACCTCAGCCTCTAGAGTAGCTGGGATTACCAAGTGTGCTACCTGCCCAGCTTCCTTTTGTTTAAGTCTGCGAAGTTTCAGTGGTGTTTAAGGTACCAGAGGGACACAGTGATCCTTCACACACTCATCACACTCCCGGACAGTGTCACCCATATAGCAGGTGTGTTTCCTGTCCCCCCACCCGCCACTCTGCCTCCTCTCGAAGGATTCTGAAGCAAATGGCAGGCCTTGTTTGTTTACAGTGATGATTTTGCTTCTGTGACTGGTGCTTTCACTGGGGGAGTTGGAGCTTAGGTTTTTTTTTTGAGGTGCCAGGGATGGAATCCAGGGCCTCCCATGCTAGCCAAGTGCTCTGCCACTGAGCTGCACCCCAGCCCCTCCTGAGGAAACTGAAAGATTCTTGTGAGCCCAGTGTGGTAGTGCATGCCTGTAAGTCTATATTCTAGGAGGCTGAGGCAGGAAGATCGCGGGTTCAAGCCCAGCCTGGGGAACTGAGTGATTTAGTGAGGCCCTGCCTTAAAGAGGGAGTGAGATAATAGGGTCCCCTCCTGTCTCAGGAGCTATTCCTGTTCCCCATTCCTATTCCCCAATAAATTTTCCTACTCTTAAAATAAATAAAAAGGGGATGAGGGCTGGGGATGTAGCCTAGAGCAAAAGCCCTGAATTTCCCTGTACTGCAAAACAAAAAAAAAAAGAGAAAAGAAAAGAGTGCTTTGTGTGCCCTGCAGGCTCCTGGACCAAGGCCGCCCGGGCAAGGCTGCGTGAGCCCTGTCGCCCCAGGCACAGCTGGCCGCGGCCTCGAAACCCAGCAGTGGTCACAGGTGGCTGAGCGCGTGTGGGCCTGGGCAGCGGGGCCGCCGGGGCCGTGACCCGCGCTCTGGTCTTCTCTCCCAGCCCGTGTCACCTAGACCACGGCGCTGGGTGGGGCCGCGGCATGGACGGGAGGGACGGGGTCACCGCCCCCCCAGGGTGGGTTCACGGCAGGGGCAGGGACGTGAGTAATTCACGGCCACTGCGGCTGCAGGTGTCACTTCCCACGAGACTCAGGGAGACCTGACCCCGAGAGGCACAGGATGTCACCGTGTGCGAGTGAGGCCTCAGCTCCCGGGGCTGGCGGCCGCAGAGGCTGGCTGACTCCCGGCGCCTTCTCCACTGCTGGAGGCCACCAGCCCCGCACCGCTACCCCGGCCCTGGCTCACAGGAGTGGCCCCGGCCCCTGGACTAAGGGAAAGGTGGCCAGTTAGGTTCTACGTGTTTTTTATTTCCTGATTTGTAACATTAGTTTCTCCCAGGGAAAGAATCGTATGGTGTTCTAGGAAGAGGGCTGGACTCTGACCCAAGAAAATGTTAAGTCGGGTGTGGGGCTCACCTGTTATCCCAGCACTCTGGGAGACTGAGGCAGGAGGATCATAACTTCAAGCCCACTCTGGGCAATTTAATGACTTAGTGAGACCCTGTTTCAAAATAAAACAGACATAATGGGCTAGGTGCGGTGGGGCATGCCTATAATCCCAGCACTAGGAGGCTGAGACAGGAGGATCACTATGAATTCAGGCCACTTGGGCTGCGTAGTAAGATTCTGTCTGAAAATACACGAAACCATAGTGGGCTGGGGTTGCAGCCCAGCGCAGAGGCCTTGGGTTCAGTCCCCAGTACTAGAAATCAACCTGTGCGCAGCCTTCTCTGGGCCTCAGGGTCCTTTCTGTTTAATGGGACACTGGATGGTCCCTTGGAGGGTGGCATCTGAACAGGGGCGGCAGATATGACGGTCACGGCTCCTCGGCTGGCCTGCTGTATGAGGCACCTTCGTGGGGGAGGCGGCGTCTCCCCAGCTCTTTCTGACCTCTGAGGCCCCTCAGGCGCTGCCCTGCCTGTGAGTCACCTCAGCCTAGCCCAGGGGCTCTCAGCCACTGTGCCGAGCACCAGGGCTCCCAGCTGTGACGCAGTTTTGTCCCCAGCAAGTGACATTTGCATCAAAGGGATGTCACGATGGCTGTGGCTTCATTTCTCCGCCCGAACCCAGGAGAGGCCCCCACGCGGGGCAGGGAGAGCCGCCGAGCCGTGCGCTGCAGCCCGCCCTGGGCCAAGTGTTGCACAGGGCCCTGCCTGGGCGGGTCACCTGCACAGCGTAAGGAGCATAACAACTGCCCCAAAGCCAGCGTCAAAGCAAAGACAGACAGGAGATCCGTGTTGGACAGCATTTTACAGGACAGGTTGGGAGATGCAGCTTGCCCTGAATCCTGGGTGTCCTGTCATGGCGGAGGCCAGGTGACACAGGCACCTGTCCTGCCCCAGGGAAGCCCAGGCCGGGGCAGAGGGTGCAGCTGTGGCGATGCCACGTCTGAGTGTCTGCCAGGCTGTCCCACGGTCAGCCAGGTGGTCCCAGCGCCAGGCCTCTTCCGGGAGTAACCCCGCAGGGCCGAAGAGGTGAGCGCGCTGGGTGCAGCAGAGCTGTCCACGAGTCCGGTGGTTCCCTGGGGCCTGGCGTTGGCTCCTTCAATGCAGACGAAGAGGGTTTGTCACAAGGCAAGGCTTCCCGTGGCCCTGCTCCCCTTCGGGACGCGGCGGCTCGGCTGGGAGTCAGGGCTCAGCTGGCCCCTGCGGGGCAGGCTCGTCCCCACCCCTGCCTTGTCCCTCCTGTTGCAGCCCCTCACTGAGTTGGACCTTGGCCACAGCTCGGGTGACCGTGGAGCACTGCTGGCCCTCACTGCCCTGTGTTCAGGCCTCGCTGCCCCGCCAGAAAGGACTGTCGACGCGGGCCCCAGCCCAGCTCTGCCTCCCGCCGGGTCGAGGGGACCCAGGACCGGGCCGCTGCGCCCTGGCACGGTGGGCAGTGCTGTTCTCACTGCGCCCCGGGCGCAGCCGGGCCCGACCCACCCCTCCTGAGGGTGGCAGCTGTCAGCGCCCTCCCAGCCTCCGCGACCCCGGCTGTTGCTCGCTCACCACTTCCCGCTAAAGTGAAACTTTTTCTTTTTTTGCTAGTGGGGGTTGAGCCCAGGCCCTTCACGCTGAGCGACATGCCCAGCCCTTCTTATTTTTTGAGACAGGGTCTTGGTAAGTCAGCCAGGCTGGGCTCAGACCCCACAGTCTGTGACCCTCCTGCCTCAGCCCCCCAGAGCCCTGGGATTAGAGGTGTGCACCCTGTGCCTGATCCTTACCAGTCTGTGCAACCCCCCCCCCACGTCACCAAAACTGCTGGCCAGCGACTGCCCCAAGGGCTCTGACCCTCTGTGGCCGGCCACACCCTCACTGGTGGCTGTCACCCTCCAGGGAGGGTCGCTACCTGCTGCTTCAGCCCCACCTGCCCTCGCAGGGTCCGGGCTCTGTGCTGGGTCCTCACCCCTCCCTCCCTTGGCAACTGTCCCCACCCGTGCAGGGACAGCCTGCCTGACCCTGACCCCAGCTCGGACCTCTAGCTGCCTGGTCCGTGGTGTGGTTGGGTGACCCGAACCTATATCCCGAACTGGGCCTTAGCCGCCCCCGGCACACCTGCTCCCTGGGCCCTGCAGGTCCCAGCCGCTGGCAGCCACCTCCGTCCCCGGCACGCTGCTGCAGCTGCCCACCTTCAGCGCGGTCTGCGTCCCACTGCCTCTGCCCTGCCCTGGGCGTGGGTTCTCTCAGGCCACCGCTCAGGAGCACCAAGTCCCCGAGAACCTTCCCGCCCACCTCACACGGACCGAGCGCCCTCACCCTCTGCTGCTGTCCCCGCTAGCTCGGCCCCTCGCCTGCATTCGGGGGTCCCCACGCCTCCCCTGCCCCAGTGTCGGGGTGAAGGTTCAGCCCAGGTAGCTCCACCCCAGCCTGCCCGGTGTCCCTGATAGGGACTGCACGGTGGCCTGCAGGGCTCCCTGCTGGTGACGCTGCTTCCCACGCTGCGGGCCTGGGCTGGGCTCCCGCTGCAGGCCTCCTGTCCTCCTCCCTCCACTCCAGCTGTGGCCTGCTGCTCTGTGTCTCTGGGGTGGGAGGGCGAGGGACAGAGCTGTGTGCATCCAGCCCCAGCCCAGGAGGCTCCTCTGTGTGTGTCAGCCACCGTTGTCCCTACACCGTCCTGCCCCCGGGTCCCACCCGCCCAGGTTCTGGCGCGGTGGACAGAGCTCCTCTGGCTACGCAGTGGCCTGCTCAGAGCCGGTGACCCCAGCTCCGTTTGGTCAGTGAGGAAACAGGTTTAGGGCTGAGCCTCCAGTCTGAGGTCACACGGACCCCTCGGGTCAGATTTCTCTGCCTGATACCCCAGCAGCCTCAGACCTGTCACCTGGCCACGCCTGCCACTGTGGGTGCCCAGCCCTACAAGAGGTGGAGCAGGACAGGCCGGCCTGCTGGCAGCGGATGACAGTGGCTGCAGGGGCATCTCCCTCCTGAGGGCGTGGCGTCCCCCCAGCACCCGTGGGCTTCTGTGCTCCCCGTAGGTCCCCAGGGCCTCGGCCCGAGGCGGCCGGAGGGTGCTGTACCTCAGTTCCACTGTCCCCTAGGCTTCCCTGGCTGCCACATCCCCGTTCACGTAGTCCGGCTCCCCATCGTCCTCGACTGGGCTCCCGGGTGCTCTGGGGGCTGGTTCTGCAGACCAGAGGGCAGGTGGGAGGGGCGGTCCACCCTCCCCTCGCCGCTGCTCCCCAGCCCGCCCCAGCTCAGAGCCCGGACTCCATGGCGGCCCTCGGAGACATCACGCCGCGGGGACTCCCCGGTCTGCCTGTCTGTCTGTCTCTCGGGTTTGCCAGGTGGCACTGCTCATGGAGCTGAGATGGTGCGGCTGGCTCAGAAGGCTGCCGTGCTGCCAAGGGGAGTCCTGGCGGAGCCCGAGACACCCACAGCCTCCGGGACACTGGAGGCCGCACTGCGGGGTCTGCCAGACTCAGCGGAGCCCACCTCTACCCTTGCCCGGCCCCCAGCCGCCTACCCCAGGCTCGCGTGGACTCGTGCCACTGGTGGATGGATGCGGAGTTCTGATAGTCCTCGGAGTCCTCCCCGCCTGCGGGACACAGACAGTCTCCAGGACAGTGGCCACTGGCCAGCCCTCAGGGCCACAAGTCCTCAGGCGTCTGGCCCTGGGCAGCGTGCGTTCTCCCAGGCTGCGTCCCGGGACACTGGCTGGGCGACACTTTGCCCAGAGACACCAGAGCCCTCATCCTAAAGCAGGGGAGGCTTGGGCCACAGGAGCGCAGTGCGGAAGCCCAGGTGCCCCCGCGGAGGCCACGCCTCCTCCCAGCCCAGCCTGCGGGATGGAACTCACCCAACTCTGTGTGCCTGACCCGAGGCTGGCAGATGAGCACGTTCTCGTAGGAGTTGGTGTCGTCCTCATCTGCGGAGAGAGGCCGGCGCGGGCTGCCAGGACTGGCCTGCACGGCCTGGCTCTCCCGCCCCACAGCCCCCGGCCCTTCGCAGGGGACCTGGCCTGCCCCACCCAGCACCTCTGGCTTTCTCCTGCGCCAGCTTTGCTTTTCCGGTTTCCCTTACTCTTTTCCTTCTGTGGCACTGATGGTTGAACCCAGGGCCTTCACACTGAGCTACATCCCCAGCCCTTTTTTATTTTTTATTCTGAGACAGGGTCTCACGAGGCACCGAGACGCCCAGGCTAGGCTTGGACCTGGGATCCTCTTGCTTCAGCCTCCTGAGTGCTGAGATTACAGTTGCACACCACGTGCCAGGCTTATCTGATCCTCTCTTTGGGAAGCAAAGATCCAGCATGCAGCCCAGCCCGGATGACCAGGGCCTCGAGGACCCTGCCTGCCCACCGAGCGCCCCTTCCTGCCCCCCGTCTCACCTTCCGGGGGCTTCCGGGAGCACCCCCAGTTGTAATAGTCCACGGCGATGGGGTCTCTGGCCAAGGAAGCAGACACGTGATAGGCTGGTGGGTTGGCGTCGGGCAGGGACCGTGAGGGGACATCAAGGCTGGGGCAGCTCTGTCACTCGCAGGGGGTGCTCTGCCACGGCCCCATCCCTCCCTCCGGCTTCTCCAAGCCACCTGGGGCTGCAGGCGGGCAGCCCGGTCCAGTCACCTTACTAGGTGGCCTCGGACAAGTGTGCCCATTTGTGAGAAGGGGACACAAAGGCGCCTGACTCCCGGTGACGGGGCCGAGCAGGAGCAGTCTCCCTAAGCACGTCCCTTCCTGTCCCGCAGAGCCACATCTGCGGCGTGCGGAGCCCCACCCTGAGGGAAAGCAGTGCTGCCCAGAGATGACAGACGGGGAAGCCGAGGCAGAGCCAAGCGGGGTGGGCCAGGGCGGCTACTCACATGTAGGCGTCAGATTCGGGTCTGCTCCCTGGGGGAGGCAGGGACAGTTAGGCCCGAGGTGGGCAGCAGCCCCGCCGCCCCCGGCAGCCCTCTTACCTTTGCTGAAGTTCTGGTACCTGGAGGATGCAGATTCTGGAAGAAAGGCCAGGCGTGGTCCCCTCTGCCTCCCCCCAGGCCGCCCACAGCCCCGGCCGGCCCCCAGTGGCGTGCACTCACCCTCCAGCAGGGTGGAGAACCGCAGCAGCTTGTCCTTCCTGTGGGCGGGGACAGGGGCGTGGGATGGCTCCGAAGGCCACTGGGGCTTTGGGATCCAGGGAGGGGTTGGGTCTTGGCCCCGTGGGGACCCCAGGCTGTGGCCCCCCTCACTCAGGGCCTGATGGGGTCTGGTCCTACCCTGTGGGGGCTGCGTCGGGGGCCGTGTCCATCTGGGGTCCGAGCCATGCCTGCCCGACCGCTGCAAAAGGAGGAGGTATGGGTGGACCCAGGCCAACCCCCGTCACACACACACACCAGGCGTGGCCATGGGGCCAGGAAGGATCTTTCTCATTTGTGTTTTGTGGTCCTGGGGATTGAACCCACACTGAGCTACAGTCGCGGGATTTTAAATTTTTTTAGAATTTGGAGGCAGCATCTCACGGAGTTATTAAGTTGCCCGGACTGGGCTCAAGGTTGCGATCCTCTTGCCTCAGCCTCCCAGAGTGCTGGGAGGACACCACCGCACCTGGCTCCCGATGTGAACCCGGCCCCAGCCCAGTCCCTGGAGCCCAGGGACTCACAGGAATAGGTCCGAGCAGCCACTGAGAAGCTCTGCTGACTCCCGCGCCTGGAAACACAGGAGGCCGTGCTGAGCGGGCTGGGACAGCCCAGGCGCCCAGGAGAGGCAGGGACACTGAGCACAGGGTGTCACCCTTTGGGCCTCAGACCCAGGGTCCCCCCCACCCCTGCGCCACACGGGCTGACACCCTTTACATGGCCCTGGGCTGTGGCCTGGCTGCCCCCAGCGCCCTCCCGTCCCGTGGGCCTCGGGTTCCCCGGGAGGGGCAGGAGGACTGGGCTGCAGAGGTGGCCCCAAGCGCCCTGTGCGCAGGGGGAGGCGGCTGCTCGGGCCCGCTGGTGACTTGGGGAAAATGACTCAGCCAGAAGCAACCAGGAGCCTGCCGCCTGCGCCCCAGGCTGTGTCACTGTCCCCAGGGGGCTCAGCCTGCGAGGGCCCGCTCGGGAAGCAGGGTCCCAGCGCTGGCTCTGACTGCCCTTCTTTCTTGGCGGAAGCCCACTTTGTTGTTATTTTCTTTTTAGAGCCAGTTATTTTTTTTTCTGTGAGCTTCCTGCCTCAGCCTCCTGAGTTTCGGAGTTACGCCTGGGTAGAAGCCTGATTTTTACAGTATTTCAGCGGCCATTCGCCCATCTCAAAGACTGTTTTCCAGCCTTCTTCACACCTAAGGGAAACCATGTGGATGGGCTCCCCTCAGAGAGCAGCAACCAAGCTTGTTGGTGTTTCCAAGAAGTCTCCTCATGGGGCACAGCCCACTGCAGTAAACCCTTTTTGTCCGTATCTCTTCTTGCTACTGCTTGGAATGCAGAGACAAGGGGTGGTGCTCCAGCCGCCATCTTGGACCATGAACAACGCAAGCCCCCTTCCATATTTGGGGGAGCCATTTAGCCACTTGTTCAAGCAGGTCACAGGGCTCCTCCCCTTGACTCGAGCAGGTCCCTGAGGGTCGGGGTGAGCTGATTCAGGAGGGACGCCCTAAGTCCCCAGGAGTGTCAGATGTGACTTCCTGCTGGGGACGGTTCTGGAGCAGGGCAGGTGCACACAGCGGTCCCTTCCCGGGGAGCCTGTGCCCAGTTTCGGCCACACCCAGGGGGAGGGGAAGGTGTCCAGGGGAAGAGAAAAGCCCAAGTCCCCCTCGCCACCCCAACACGAGGACGTGTGGCTTCTGGCCCTCGCCTGTACGCTCTGGGGTCCATCGGGAGGAAGGAACTCTGGGACAAGGGGGCCAAAAAACCCCGGAGGGCTCCTGCCCGCCCCAGGGCGCAGAGATTCTATTTTCAAATCTCGCTGTGGTTTTTCAGTTGCGAAAGGAAATGAGACAGGCTGCGTGCGTGTGCACGGTGTGCGCGCGGGCAAGTGTGTGACAGCACCCGCGTGTGCGCACTCGGCGATCTGTGACGGCGCCCTGGCCCCAGACTTGTCCCTGGGCTCCAGCCGCGCCCCAGTTCCGCTTCGGGCCTTTGCCTTCCCTCGGTCCGCTCACCCGGGGACGCCCCCGCCTGCGCCGCGGGTTCCAGGAGCCCAGGACACTGCGCATGCTCTGTCCGGCTCCACCCCTCCTTCCAGGAGGGCGGGGCTCCCCGTCTGGCACCAGGGTGGGGACCCTGAAGGGCTGCGGAGGCGCTGTCACCGTCACGCTGGGAGCCACAGAGCCACCCGTGGGCGGGTGTGGCTGAAAAGCTGAGGGACCCCGTGCCCCGGGCACTCGGAGACCCCAGGACCCGAGCCGAGGCAACTCACAGGTTCTTCTGCTCGTAGATTTTCTCCGTCCTCTTCGCCCCTGTGGAGAACAGGCCGGATGAGCAAGCGGCCCTGAGCCAGGTGGGGACTGAGCTCCGAGGTCCCTGCAGGCCTCAGACCGGACTGCTCCCCTTTCGGCAGGAGAGGAGACATCAGAGAGGGGGTCACACAGGCGGCCCCGCTCCCCCGCCCCCGCCCCCGAGGCAGAAGCAATCCCCAGGCCCCAAACACCACACTTTTCCCCCCAGTACTGGGGATGGAGCCCAGGGTCTTTGCACTGAGTCAAATACCCAGCCCTCTTCTTTTTTATTTTGAGACAGGGTCTTGCAAAATTGCCCAGGCTGGGTTCAAATTTGCAACCATCCTGACTCAGCCTCCCGGAGCACTGGGGTTATAGGTGTGCGCCACCATGCCCAGCTCAGAGACCACACTAGACCCAGTGCAACCGAAGTCCCCCAGGGAACGGGACCCAGTGTTCCCTGGCTCAGCTCAGGGGCCACCACCCAGGATCCTGGGACACCACACCCTGAGCGGGGCCTGCTCCCCCGTTCTGAGGGCCCCCTTACCTGGGCGGGAGCAGCGTACACACAGCCCGGCCACAGCCCCCAGCAGCAGCAGCAGCGCTGCCCCTGGCCACAGCAGCTCAGTTTCGGCGCCCATGTCCTCGTGCCCCCACCTGCAACACTGCATTGGGTGTGAGCCCATTAACTGCCTGCAATCCCAGCTCTGGGAGGCTGAGGCAGGAGGATCACGAGTGCAAGGGCAGCCTGGGCAACTTGGGGAGAATGTCTCAAACAGAACAAAACAGATGGCCCCAGCCCATGACCCCAACCCTGGCCCCACCCGCCATGTCACACTTGGGCTCCTCCCTGCCTCCCAGACACCTGGGAATGGGTTTCCTTTTTCAGCACCTGCAAGCCCAGGTTCTGCCTGCTGTGCAAGTGGGGAGGAGGGGGTCAGGGAAGGCTTCCCGGAGGAGGTGGCTCTGAGAGCTGAGGCACAAAAGCATGCCTTAGCCAGGGGACTGCTGGTGGTGGCTGGTAGGGCCAGGAGCTAGGATGACAAGCCTGCATGACACGGGGCTACTATTTATTTATTTATTTATTTATTTATTTATTTATTTTGAGACAGGGTCTCAGTACGCAGTTCAGGCTGGCCTTGAGCTCACTTTGTGGCCCAGGCTGGTCTCAAACTCACAATGATCCTCCTGCCTCAGCCTCCCAAGTGCTGGGATTATAGGTGTGCGTGACATGGGGCTACTTGATGGCGAGTGGCACAGCTTTGGGAAGAAGTTCAACCCCCGGAGCACCTCCAGAAAGAATCGTGGCAACTCTAAAGAGACTCAGCCCCGCCCTAGCTGTGCATGTTTGCACACTGCTGTAGTTCCAGTATCCTAGGAGGCTGAGGCAGGAAGGTGGCAAATTCCAGCTCAGCCAGGGCAGCTTGGCAAGACCTTGTCTCAAAATAAAAAAAAAATAAAAAGGGCTGGGGATGCAGCTCAGTGCAAAGGGCCTGGGTTCAGTCCCCAGTATGGAAAAAGAGAAGAGGTGGAGGAAGAGGGAAAAATAGACTCAGTCCCTGGCGAGCCCTGTGGGGCCACCGTGCACCCCAGTTCTGCCCTGCCAGATGAGGCTCGCCCCACCTCCAGCAGGGGAAGGACAGGCTCAGAAGCCCCCGGGGGGAAGAGGAACCCACACTGCGCACCTGCCTGGGCTCCCGCCTGCGTGGCCTCGGGCTGTCCCCTTCCTAGCTGTGTGGCCCCAGTAGCTCTCCCAAGCTCTCTGAGCTTCCAGAGCCACGGTGGCAAAGGTGACACAGAATCCACGTGTGCCACAGAAGCCCCGGGATCCTTCCAGACCGAGTGAGTCAGAGGAGACGGTGACTTATCCACCCTGCAACTGCCACTCCCTCGCCACCAGGCTCCTCTCGGGCCCTGAGCTCCTGCCCCACCACCCAGGGCGGATTTAATGCAATCCCAATGAAAATACCAACAGCACTCCTCACAGAACTGGAGAAACAATCCTAAAACTCATAGGGAACCAGAAGAGACCCAGAGTAGCAAAAGCAATCCTGGGTAACAAGGGCAAGGCAGGGGTATCACAGCCTCAGACTTCAAGCTATATCACAAAGCTACCTCAATTCGAACAGCATGGTACTGGCACAAAAGCAGACGCGTGGATCAGTGGGACCCAAGAGAGGAGGCAGAAACAGCTCCACGCATCTTTGGCCACTAGATCTTTGACAAAGTGGGCAAAAACGTACAGTGAGGAAAGACAGCCTCTTTAAAAAATGGTGCTGGGAAAACTGGCTTTGCACAGGCAGAAGACTGAGTCTAGACCCCATATCTCTCAGCTTGTCCTGAACTAACCTTAAAATGGGTAAAGGATCTAAATGTTAAAACAAATATTTAATCTGCTGGAAGACAAAATAGGCAAAACTCTTGAAAACACAGGCACACCAGGGACTTTCTGAACAGAATCCCAACGCACAAGAAATAACATCAAGAAGCAACAAATGGGGTCACATCTGATTAAAAGACTGGGCTGGGCATGGTGGCGCACGCCTGTAATCCCAGCACTTGGGAGGCTGAGGCAGGAGGATCATTGTGAGTTCGGGACCAGCCTGGGCTACAAAGTGAGCTCAAGGCCAGCCTGAACTGTATAGTGAGACCCTGTCTCAAAAAACAACAAAACTGATTCAAAGACTGCTGCACACGGGCTGGGGATTTAGCTCAGTGGCACAGTGCCAGCCTGGCAAGCGCAAGTTCAATTCCCAGTACTGGAAAAAAAACAAAAACAAACAAACAGAAAGACTTCTGCGCAGAAAAGGAAACCACCAAAAGAGTGAAGGGACAGCCTGAAAAATGGGGAAAAGATGTTTCCAGATACTCCTCTAAGGACTAACATCTAGAATATATAAAGAACTTAAAAAAAATAAGACCCCCAAAAGAAAAGACCCAATCAAAAAGTGGGCAACTGAAATGAACAGACACTTCTGACATGAAGAAGTACAAGCTGGCAATGGTGGCGCACACCTGTGACCCCAGCACTCAGGAGGCTGAGGCAGGAAGATCGCTGCGAGTTCCAGGCCAGCCTAGGCTCCGTAGTGAGTTCAAGGCCAGCCTGAACTGCATAGCAAGACCCTGTCTCAAAACAAACAAACAAACCCAATAAAACAAACAAAACCAAAAGAAATACAAATGGCCAATAAATAAATGAAATGTTCAACATCTTTGGCCATTAGAGAAATGCAAATTGAAACAGCACTGAGATTCCACCTCACTCTAGAAAGAATGGCTATCTTCAAGAAATTATGTAGTAACACATGCTGGCGGGGCTGTGGGGAAAAGGCACCCTTTTCCACTGTTGGTGGGAACGTAGCCTGGTACAACCTCTGTGGAGATCAGTGAGGAGATTCCGCAGAACGCAGGGCCACTGTGTTCCCTCTTGCATGGTGGCCACTCTCACACTGTAGGGAGTACTTCTTTTCCTACTTTTACTAGGCCCAAGCTTGCTCTGCAGAGCCTGTTTCTTTTCCTGCCTTTAATAAAACTTTCCTACTGTTAAAAAATAACAACAACTAAAAAACAGAAATTGCATTTGACAGCTATTCCCCTTTGGGAATCTTCCTGAAAGAGTTACATACGTCATATTACAGTGGACTCTGCACACCCATGTTTATAGCAGCACAACTCATAACAGCTAAATCTTGGAAGCAGCCTCTATGTCCATCAACAGAGGAATGGATAAAGAAAATGTGGTATTTACACACAGTGGAATATTAGTCTGCCATAAAGAAGGATAAACTTGAGTCATTTGTAGGAAAATGGATGGCACCTTGGGACCATAATGCTAACTGAAATAAGTTAGACACACAGGCTTAAATATTGCATGGTTTCTCTGATATGAGAAACCCAAAGTATAAATAAATTAAAGAGCAAAGTAATGGGGGACCAGCTTGATGTGGTGCAGAGCAGGCAGTGAATGACATTAATAAATTAGCATAAGGTAAATCGAGACTCTGTCCTAGATCTATGTGACTTGTGGTGAGGCCCGTGGCTGGTGTGGGGACGGAATTAATCCTCAGGCCAAAGGCGGGGGCTGAGACCAGCAAATGGTCTACAAAATCCTGGTGCCTCAGAGCAAGAGAAGCACCACTGCTGGGCACAGTGGCACGCACCTGTAATCCTAGCACTCAGGAGGCTGAGGCAGGAGGATTGCTGTGAGTTCGAGGCCAGCCTGGGCTACATAGTGAGAGTCTGTCTCAAAAATAAAATAAAGAAAAAAGAAAGAAACAAACAAAGAACGAAAGAAATGAATGATAAGCACCACAGCTGAGGACTTTGTAACTCACATCCAAATTTCTCTCCCAGCTCAGTAGCTGGAGTTAGCAGATAAATAGGTTACTAGTTAACCGTGATCTATTCCAGGCTGCTTTTCGCAAGAAGGCATGTTCCTCAATTCTTGAGCCTTACCCGCGTCAGCAGTTCACCCCCACCGCTTCCTGCAGCCACCAGCACCCTCCAATCCAGCTGTGCACTTAATAAAGCCAGGACACCGTGCCTCGTGTCTTAGTCCTTCTTCGGCTCTGCCCATCCCGGGCCCCTCGTAAGGCAAACAGATCTCTCGTCTGTGTTTTGCTCCCTCACGGCACCCTGAGCAGGAAGTCGGCGGTCCTCGGCCAGGGCCCCAGTGACTCTCTGCTTCCCGCTGCCCTGACACGGGTCCCTGCTGTGCTGCCCTTGGACTCTAAATGTGAACCCAAATGGACCTTCCCTCCTCTTAAAAAAAAGAGCGAAATAAAGGGTAGATAATAGGAAACAGGAAGATAGATCTTTTACAAATGGGAAGAGGACCCAGGGTTGGAAGGAGGGGTGGACTGCGGGGAAACGGAAGTAAGAAGAATCCAGGGAGTTATGCGCTGCACGCATGCGCCGACTCCCGTGCTGACTGCAGTCACTGCACACTGCAAATGTGTGCTAGTAAAATAAACGTTTTAAAAATAAAATAAGAAGGGATCTAGTCTGTAACCCTAGCGCTCTGGGAGACTGAGGCAGGAAGACTGAAACGCTGAGCCCAGCCTGGGCAACTCAGTGCCGTAGCACTACCTTGTCTCAAAATAAACAATGAAAAAGGGCTGGGGAGGGCAGGGGATATAGCTCAGTGGCATAAGCACCTGCCTGGCAAGCGCAAGGTCGTGAGTTTGATCCCCAGTACAGAAAAAAAAAAAAAAAAAAGAAAAAAGAAAAAGGGCTGGGGGTGGCTCAGTGCCAAAGCCCGGGGGTCAGCCCCGTGATGCCAAGTAAATACACAAATGGGCTGGAGCCGAGGCTGTCTTCAGGCCGCTGGGACGGGTCCCAGGCTGCCGCGTGGGCGGAGCCCTCCCCGTCCGGACACCCGGCATCTCTGTCTTTGGTTAGTCTGGTGAATTCTTTCTGCTCCAGAAAAGACGAGCACACAGACACGGAGGGTGGGCCGGCCCCAGCCTCCCCACGGCCGCGGAGACCCCGGAGCAAGGGACAAGGCGGTCCCTCGGTGTGGCGTTCAGGGCGCAGGAGTTGGGTTGTTGGCCCTGCAGCCCCTGCAGGCTGCTTCTCAGGGAGAGCGGTCCTCCCCGGACTGGCAGGAGGCTGTCCCGCCTGCCCCACGTCCTCCCACCTGTCACGCGGGGGCAGTGTCACTCAGCCCTTGCTTGGGCTGTCACCTGTATGACGCACACAGGTGGAGGTCGGGCCAGGGCTGGTGGTGACCAGGGAGACTCCTGTCACCATTGTGTCCCTGAGGCCGTGTGGCAGAGGAGGCGGAATGAGGCCCGGGGCCTGTGGGAAACACCAAGGTGACCAGGCTGAGAGGCACCTGCTGCCCTGACACACAAGGGCCAGGCCTTGCACTTCTGACCCCCGTGGGGACCGAGGAGCCAGAACCCCATGAGAGGCTGTGGCCTGCAGAGCAGGTGTGACCCACGGGTCATCGCAACTCCTTCAGCGGCCTCTTCCCCACGGACAGCATCTCTTGAGAGATGCCTCTGAGCCCAGCAATGGGAGGCTCAGAGAGGTGTGTCCTGTGTCACAGGGTCACACAGCCACCGAGGCACAGGGCAGGGTTCAAAGCCAGGGCAGATGTCTTTTTTTTTTTGAGGCAGGGTCTCCCTATGCAGTTCAGGCTGGCCTTGAGCTCACTTTGTAGCCTAGGCTGGTCTCGAACTAGCAATGATCCTCCTGCCTCAGCCTCCCCTTAGTTCTGGGATTAGAGGTGTGCGCCACCACACCTGGCTTTTCAGGGCAGGTGGATACTAGATGCCACGCTTCGTCCCCTCCCTCCCTCCCCTTCCCCCTCCCCTTATCCCTCTTCCTCTTTTTCTTTCTTTCTTTCTTTCTTTCTTTCTTCCTTTCTTTCTTTCTCTTTCTTTCTTCTCTCTCTCTCTCTCTCTCTCTCTCTCTCTCTCTCTTTCTCTCTCTCTCTTTCAAGGCAGGGTCTCAATATATAGCCAGCTTGGTTTTCAACTATTGAACTCTCAGCAATCCTCCTGCCTCAGCCTCTTGAGTGCTAGGATTACAGGCATGCACCACCACAGCCAGCCCAGGCTCCTTTTCAAAGTTAAATTTGAAAATGCTATATATAGAGCACTTCACTGAGCCCTATCCCCAGCCCTTTTCTTTTCTTCTCTGTTTTTCTTCGGTTTAGGTTTTGAGACAGGGCCTTGCTAGATATTTCAGGCTGGTCTTGAACTGGCTAGATTGCCCAGGCTGGCTCCTCCTGCCTCAGCTTCCCAAGTGCTAGGCTTATAGGCCTATGCCACCATAACTGACATCATTTCCATTTTTTGGAGATAGCACCTCACTCAATGGTCCAAAGTGGCTTAGAATTTGGGATCCTCCTGCCTCAGCCTCCTGATGAACTGTGATTACGGATGTGCATCACCAGGCCTTGGCGATCATGGAATATTTTTAAAAAGAGACTAACAAGCCCTGGTGTCTACCGCTGGGCTGAACAGATTCTGTGCCGTCTCGGTCTTGCTCTCAGTCGCACTCTCGCAGGTGGCGGGAGGTGGGGCAGCCGAGGCTGTGCCTGGGAGAGGCCCCAAGGGCCGGGGGGCCGGGAGGGCGGCACAGCCTCCGCTCTGCGGCCAAAATAGCTCAAAGGGAAGTGGGCAGTTTTCTTATGAGCACAGCTCTTGGGAACCGCTGGGGAAATCGCGGGCCTAGCTGGGGTTCTGGGACCACCCAGGCCGGGCTGGGACTCGGGCCCAGCGGGACGCGGCCTGGGGCCTGTGGTCCCAACCAAGGCCGGCTTCAGGGGACTGGCAGAGGCCCCTGCGACGGGGATCGGCGCCCCGGTCGGTCGCGGGAGGGACAGGGCGGTGCAGGGGCCGGGGCAGCCCCGTCCGTGGCACAGGCAGCCGGTCACAAGGAGCCCCGGGCTGCCAGTGTTGCTTGCCTCGGACCCCGGCCGACAGCTGGTGGGACCGTGGCCTCCCGCGTCCCACAGCCCATGGCGGGGACGGCAGAGTCCTAAGCTATGCATGGGACACTGAGGCTGCCCCTCCCAGGCTCTGGGCCACCCCGCGGCTTCCAGGGCCGGGCAGCTGCGTGGGGACGGTGAGGTCGGAAAGCGGCTGGAGCCGGGAACAGCTGCCCTGAGCGCCGCAGGCCGAGGGCAGGGCCGGCGGTGCCGGGGGTCGTGCGGGGGCAGGGCACAGCCAGGACCCGGCCCGCGGCCCCTGGTGCCGAGGAAGGCTTACCTCGGTCGGGCTCCTCACTGCGGCCGCCCCATCCCGGGCACCTGTGTGAGCGCCGCCAGGCCGCTACCTCCGGAGGGCCGCAGGCAAGGCGGCAGCTTCCTGTCACCACTGAATCATCCCTCACACATCCGCCGCCGGACAGGCCCGAGCCCGCTGTGAGGGGGGAGGACAGCACACACAGACACACGCTGAACGCGCGGACACAGCACGTCAGGCTGCTGTGGCGGCACACTCTGGGAGGCTGAGGCAGGAGGGCTGCAAATTCAAGCCCAGCCTGGGGAACTTAGTGACTTCGCGAGATCCAGTCTCACAGAATAAAAAGGGTCAGGGGTGGAGCTCGGTGCATAGGCTCTGGGGTCATTTCCTAGTAGTGTGTGCGCACGCACACACACACACACACACACACACACACACACAGGAACGGGCACACACCGAGAGGCAGGGAGGAGGAATGGAGTTGAGGGGCTCCCATGGACACAACAGGCAGAGCGCAGGAAGACATGGAGACACACATGGCCACCAGGCACGGACACGGGAACACACGGGGGTGGGGGGGACAGTGGCAGAGACACACGGAGAAAGACGCAGGCCGGGACATCACAGCCCAGACAGTGACACACACAGAGACCAGGGCCGCATGGCGCACAGGGAGAGGCAGGTGCAGAGGACAGCTGGGCCCACAGACGACGTGGACAGTGCAGGACAGGACAGGGACAGGACGGGGCCGTGGCCCAGGCCCCGGGGCGGAGCAGAGGGAGCGGCCAGACGAGCTGATGGGCCGGGAGCGGGCAGCCGGGCCGCGGGGCTGGGCAGGCAAGGACCCTGCGCCCGCGCGCTCAGGGCCGCCGGTC